TTCTAAGGACATATATCAATACATATTGCAATAATAATGATTTACGCAATATAGAATAAAATGCCTTTTATTGATTAATGAACATTATTACAAAGAGTCAATTCTACAATAATTGATTGGCTCTAGGGCATCTACTTTAACAATAATGACGAGTGCACATCAACCGAGAAGAGAATGAACTGATTTCTTGAGGGTAAAAACGTTGTTTTTCTCTCTAAAAGAGAAAGTTCTGTGAGAAACTTGGAATGGGCTTAGGGTTTTATAGGGAAGAATGTGACGTTTGGTTTCTTTGATACGCGACGATTGGGTGGGATGCGTTTCTAGCCATTGATTGCGACCACGTGTATTCAATCTGCGCGAAGAGTAACTGTCATGCTTCATGGAGATCAATCGGCATTTCCCTTCATTGAAATCGCCAAGCGACAGCGTGATTATCTCCTCCATATTAAATGCGCCCTCATCAGCATTTAATGCCTTAAAAGAGAATGTCGTTTTAGCATGGCTTGCATTTAATGCTCATGGCTAGCACTTATTGCGCAGAGACATGTCTATCATATAAAGCTTATTTTATTGACTAAAACAGTTGTCAAGCGCAACAAATAACATCTGAAGAGGTCGTTCGAATAAAACACTCTTCTTCATGTGTCAAGCTCGAAGCGAAGTGATTCTCAGTTTTCGAAAATAAAATATCCAAGTGTTTTCAGGTCACGAATGACAAATAAAGTTCAAAACACATCAGTATAACATTGAGTAGGATCCGACATAGGTCACTGAACCTTTTTGGAATATTACCTCTGGTCCCTTGTGTAACACTCAAAGATCCATGTCGTGACCTCTATTCAATTCGCTGGTTGAGTTAAGCCGGTATCCTCATGTCGTTTTGGCCGTTCTCAACTGTTAGTTTTGGCAAGTCCTCCTCGGGACAATTTAGATCACGGCATAATCATGAAGTTCTCAAGATTCAATTCTTGAACCTTAAGAACTAGGGAGCTTCTATTATGCCAAAAAAATTAGGGCTGATGTAAGCCTACATCAGCTAGCTCCAATCAGAATTCAGGAAGGCTTTACGTCATCTAGGAGCTGTCACGTCGCCCCAAGACGGAGAGAATACGGCTGCCACCAACTTGGCAGATTCAGGTTTTGTCTATAAGTGAATGGGAGCCGCACACCTGTCCAAACCCCCGATAACTTGAGGATATATCATAAGTTATCAGCCAATGGGAGGTAAGGAAGGACTGACACGACACCTACCCACTTGCAGATTTGTAATCATTACCTTGAATTCTTCTACTATAAATAGAGGACTCCCCCTCTCATTTTCAAGATTCTGATACAAAAAAAAACCCTCATTATGATTGTAATATATATTCTCAGAGCAAGGATAACCTACAAGAAAGAGATTAACTTAATATTCTATCTGAATAATCAGTCATTGTACCTCTGCTCGATGTTTGCTATATGTGATCTCTTGTAATCTCTCATATATAAGATAACAGTGGATGTAGGATTCGCTTTAAACATCTGAATTACTTTAAAAATCGTCTTTCATTTATTATTCAGTTTTTGCATTAGATCATCTACAATCACGTGTAACTTCTTTGAACAGCTTAGTACTTTACACGTGTGAGTCGTTGGTGTCAAAAGCAGGCATCAACAATATATATATATATATTGTCTTGATATTTATTAACATCAAAAGTTTGAATTTGAGACATTCTTCGATGACTAAGATTCATTCAAAATTAGAAAAACACTTGACTTTTATGTTGTACACCATCTCAAGTTTCTATAGTTTTAATTTTGTCTCCATTTTCTCAGTGCCATGAACTCTGAGTTGTGCATAAAGATAAACATTAATTAGGTCCACATGTAAGTTTTAGGCCCAACCCAGCCCATTCTATGACTAATCACTACGATATCACACACAAACTGAATATCAGAAATAAAAAATTAAAATTCCTTCTCTAACGGCTAACACACGCCTTTAATCACCGTTTACACATTTCCACACAAATCAATCTCCACCGTCCATATCTCTAACGCATCCGTACTCCTCTCTGTGCTCCACGTCTCTACCGTCGCCTCGCCGCTAGTCTCGGCCTACCGCCATCCGACTCGCCTCCCCAACAAGACCCGGTCAACTCACCGGTTGTTTGCTTTAATTAAACATTTATTTTCTTCAAGTTTTATGGAAATGAATAGGTAATTTTGAGCTTGAATTTTTTGGTTTATGTAAATTATTTACTGAATTTATGATTTCTTTTGAAATTAGATAGTTACAGTGGCGAATTCTCGTGTGAAAATGTTTTAATGAAATATTCACACGCTTGAAATTAGGGAGAATTTCTGAAACCACCTTTGGGGTTTAGTTTGATGAACTGTTTTAATGATGGCTTGTGTGAAACTTTATCGGCTTTGAAATTATGTATGTTCGGTATTGCAGTTGCACAAAGACTTGTATATAATATGTTTTGTGCTAGAAGTTTTATATGGACGAGGGTACATATACCAGGGACAGGCATCCCCATTTAATGGACGCCCGTCCATAAGTAAAATAGAATAAATTTTTTTTATAAAAATTAGGGACGGCCGTTCATCCGTTATAGACGGCCGTCCCTTCATTTTGGACGGGCGTCGGCAAATAAGGGACGCCCGTCCTTAACCAAAATATGAAAATAAAAAAAAATAAAAATTTGGGGACAGCCGTCCATAAATTTTTGGACGGCCGTCCATTAGGAATGGACGCCCGTCCATACTTTTAAAAAAAAAAAAGCACCTTCTTCAATCTTCTTCTTCTTCTTTGCCAAGCCAAAAACCACAGCAACATCTCTCACAACATAGCTCATTGATCTCCATGGATTCTTAACCCAACAATGCTTAGGAATAGCCGCTCTAATATCAGATAATTTAAAAGGAGGAGGCGCAGCAAGGTCAAACTCACCACCATCTTCTTCTTCTCTAACTCCATTGATTTTCTCCTCCCTTAAAATCATTTCTGAACCCAACCTACTTGTATTGAACACAATATGCTGAATTCTTTGACTCCAAGGTGGAGTTTGAGGACTTCACCAGAGTCGGGGAGACTGCACATCTTAGAGAGAGGTCAAAATCAGAAAGTATTATATGCCCATCTTCCCTCACCAAGACATTCTCTGGCTTAAAGTCTCTGTAAATAATCCCAAGCATGTGCAAATACTCCAAAACAAGAAGAACTTCCGCCACATAAAACTTAAAGAGTGAAAGAGCATATTAATAAAAATAATTAATATTAGGTGGCAACAGATTTACTCTTCAACTCTCTTCACATGTTCATAGTTTTCATCAACAAAAATCCTCCCAAAATCTCAAACTAAACTGATAAAAATGCAGTTGATTTGTTCCATTTTAACTTCACAGCGAAGCTTAAGACCCTCCAAGCTCTCCCCATTTCATTCCTCTTGTTTGTGTTATTCAGCTGCCGTAGTTGAAACTGAGAGAACCATCAGACAAGGCACCAGACACGAATGGTCAAAAGATGAGATCAAGTCTATTTACGACTCTCCCGTTCTCGATCTCCTCTTCCATGGAGTCAGTTTCACTTCTTAATCTCTTATTTATGGCTTTACTTTTTGTGGGTTCTGTTTAGAATTGTGTTTTGATAGTTAGTTTTTGTTTTGAAATCCATTGTTTATCTGGATGTTCTTTTTAATTGTTTTTTGTGAATGTATAGGCTTCTCAGTGTGATGTTTGCTTTAGTTGAGTTATTGGCATTGGTTTTATTGTTTAGTTTGTAGCGTGTAAAGAGGGATCATGGTTATCTGGAAAAGTAAATTAATAGTGGCTGGAGAGGCGATCAGGGGATGGGTTCCACGACGTGCAGATTCTTTTGAGAAGCTGGACAAAGTAAGCTTCTTCTTCTTTGATCCATTAATAGCTTATTCTTCTTGTTTTTTTTTTTTTTAAGTATGGACGAAACGTTCTTTTTTTTTTTTTTGTAAAGTATGGTAATGGACGCCCAAATTTTTTATTTTTTTTATTTTCATATTTTGGTTAAGGACGGGCATCCCTTATTTGCAGACGCCCGTCCCTAATTTTTATAAAAAAAAAATTATTCCATTTTACTTATGGATGGGCGTCCATTAAATGGGGACGCCTTTCCTTGGTATATGGACCCCCGTCCATATTATATGGACGGGCGTCCATGTGAGTGAACGGCCGTCCAAATTTGATGGACGGCCGTCCAAATTTGATGGACGGCCGTTCACTAGAAAAAAAATTGTTAAAAAAATCAGAGGCATGTTACATGTAGGCCGGTACACAATTTCGGTGCAAGTTTTTCGGTGTCTGTAGTTTTATTGTTTCCTAAAACTTTCTTAAAAGACAAGAATACTTTGATAATTTTTATCATAAAAAATGTATAAAATTATTGTTCTTTATAATTTAAAGGGTAAAATAGGTGATTCACACTTAAAAACTAACCTAGTTAGACTTTGGAGTTGGTCGATGAATTCTGAAAAATATTAAAGAGAGCTAGATTAAGATGGCAATAGTTTATAGAAATCATCATCGGGAAGCAAGTGATTTTAGTCTTTGGACTAAATAATGGTACAATAAAACACTGATATGGTTTGCATCTAATGAATCTATCTCTTTTTAAAGCCAATATTCAACTATTAAAGTCACTTGAACATTTACTGCATATGTGAAATATTACTTCCACCCTTGATTTAATTGGAATCGAATAAAGATATGTTGACAAATACTTTTCATATTTCTCTCACAAATGTTGGCGTGATAACTCGTAATTGATCGGTTTGCATTGTGAGGTAAATGAGATTCATTGTAAACTAATCAATTATAAACTAACACGTTACATTTGCGAGAAAAAGTTAATAAAAAAGGCTTATGAAGGTAGTATTACTAGGTTGGAACTATTATGAGAATTGATTTGGTTATTGAAAGGGCTCCCCACTACGAGCCAGTAATTAATGATTAAAAAAGTTATGCTCATGTTCATGTAGAGCCCATTGCCCGCATTAAAACAAAGACATTAACAATCATGCGTTCATCATCTAATCCAACCAAAGACACAAAAATAAAGATAAAATTTTGCCGGAATGGCTATGATAATTAGGCCCGTGACGATGAAGATGAAGATGATGATCATGAAGAATCATTATGATAATAATCATCATAACAGAGTTCTGAATCCAAGTCGTTTAGTCTCAGCTCAGAAATTAGTGGGTGAATTTAATCCCAAAATTCCAATAGAGAAAGCAAAAACGCCACCAAGCTCATGGTACACTGACCCTTCTTTTCACGCCCTTGAGCTTGATTCTGTCTTCTACAGGGGCTGGCAGGCTGTTGGTTTGTTCTTCTTCTTCATCTTTTTTTAGTTTTTTTTTTCTTTTTTGTTCATTTCAATAAAACCATGAAATCGAAATATTTAATTTTATACTTTCACTCAGGATATACTGAACAAATACAACACACTGGTGAATTTTTCACTGGAAGGTAAAACAATTCATGCTGTTATGTGAACTTTTGGATATAAAATTTGTATTGAATTTGATTGATTTTAATTCTTACGGCAGAATCGGTGAAGTAGAGTTTGTAGTATGCAGAGATGATAATGGGAAAGTTAATGGCTTTCATAACGTGTGTCGCCACCATGCCTCTCTTCTTGCCGCTGGAACTGGCAAAAGTAATTCTTGCTTTGTATGCCCTTATCATGTAAGTTTTTTTATTTTTTATTTTTTTGTGTGTGGGTTCAAATTAATATTAAAGATCTTAATTCGTATTCGTATTGTTCAATTTTATGGAAAGACAGGGAAAATCTTAAAGTTTTAGTGCTTTACATTTGTGTGAGTGGTCTAGAATGAAGATCATCTCTGACTCTAGAAGTCCATTTGGTTTATGATTCATTCTATTGCAAATCTCGTTCTGCAGAGTAAAAAGGGCATCTCTGTTAGTTCACAACCTACAATTTAATGGTTTTCTAAACCCCGTTGGCCATCCCCTCCATGATATATGAATCTGGTAGTGTGAGATTGGAGTTGTGCCATTTGCTTCCCATCATTTTCCTATCCTATGGGCAGGTTCCAATCTCATATTGCTGTGAAACATAATGGAGCTGTATCTCCATGAAAACTAGTTTCTAATTGACACCTATGGCTACATTCATTATCCTATGTTCGGACTCTTGAGCCATGAACTTGTTCTTTTGCTTCTTGATTTTTATGCAATATTCTCATTGTTTACAAAAATAAAGCTTTGGAAAATTAATTAAAATAGAAATCAGTTCATGCTTTTCTTGTGGTGTAGAATAAAAAGTCCACTGCTCTAGAGGACATTACTTGTAATTTTGTTATTTTACCATGGAGAGCTTTTTTCTTTTTCTGTCATAATCTATTAATTTCTTCTCTTTTTTATGTTTGGAGTATTTATGTTACTTTTCCTTTAAATATACTCACAAATCATTTGATGTGTAAGTTAGCATGTTTTGATTTCTGCTGGGTCTACTTTTCCTGCATGTATTCTTTGGTTGGACTTGCTTCTTGTGAATAATGACTAATGAGGGCTTAATAATATGTAGATGAAAGAAATGGAGACATCTTTGGTTCTTTGAGCTTTATTATATAATTTTATATGTTTTTGTTGATAAATTTAAAATGCAAATCCAATTATTTTTCTGCAGGGATGGACATATGGCCTAGATGGAAAACTTCTTAAGGCAACCAGAATAACAGGAATACAGAACTTCAATGTAAATGTATGATATGAAATTTCTGTGGTAGCAATCTTATTTGTAAAGCATTATCCAAATGGATGGAATAATTTTGTTGATTTTTCTGGCCATGGAGGGTAGGAGTTTGGTCTTATACCACTGAAAGTAGCTACGTGGGGGCCATTTGTTCTGCTCAATATAGACAAACAGATGACACATCACCAGGAAGTTGATGGTGATTCAGTGGCAAGTGAGTGGCTTAGTAGCTGTTCGGAGATATTGAGTCTCAATGGAGTTGATTCATCATTAAGTTTTTGGTGCAGACGTGAATATACAATTGAATGCAACTGGAAGGTATAAATATGGCATCTTGAACTTTAATTTATGCCCAAGCTTATTCAACACAATTCTACATCTTTCCTTTATAGCCTTTAGGAATATCATCCATTTTTAAACCGATGTTTCCTCTTTGCAATAAATTTTAATTTGTGACGGAGAGTTATCCTACATCGCAATAAAAATAAGCTATCTGCAAATCAGTGGCCATAAACTTCATAAATTGTGTAGTTCCTTGAACATGTTTGCTCCATGGGCTGATGGTAATCTATTTTTTTTTTTTTTCATTTTCTTGTAGGTATTTTGTGACAACTACTTAGATGGTGGTTACCATGTGCCATATGCACATAAAGGTCTTGCATCCGGTCTTAAGCTTGATTCCTACTCAACCACAGTATGCTTCTCTACTTTAGCCACATACTTGGGTTCATTCAAATACAAGAAATTTTTATGGGGATTTTTGTTTAACCGAAATTTTTTTTAGCTTCTTTTATCCTATTGAGGAACCATTTATTTTAAAAAATTCAACGAAGAGGAAAGGCCCAAAAGTAGTTTTTAAATTATGATAGACTTTATATGCATTTTGTTGTTCAACATCCATTATCATTATATTGAACTACTGAAGTGAATGCCTTTTATGGGACAGATATTTCAAAAGGTTAGCATCCAAAGATGTGAAGGTGGCTGTACAGAAAGCAAAGATGATTTTGATCGCCTTGGATCTAAAGCTTTATACGCTTTCATATATCCTAATTTCATGATTAATCGGTACTTGATTGATAGTTAGATATGGCAGTTGTTTATTTGTTTGTTAATAACTAGTGCTGCTATCTTTTGTCTGATATAATAACTTAAGCTTTTTGGGTTCTTATAGATATGGACCTTGGATGGACACCAATCTGGTAATCCCTCTGGGACCTAGAAAATGCAAAGTGGTATTTGACTATTTTATCGAACCTTCTTTGAAGGTAATTTTCAGTTTCTTTACTATGTGTTATGGTATCCGGAATCCCTGCATAAAATATGTCAGTACAGTAGAGTTTAGTGATTATTAACTTACAAAAGAAAAAAAAAATGGATAGTTACTTGGCCCCAATTCCATAACAACCTATTGAGTAAATATTGTCACCTTGCGCATATTGACACAAATTGTTTATTGGTGAAAAACAAATGACATCTTGTTTAAGGTTAGAGAATTGTTTTCCACTCCAAGATGTGATTGATTTGGAGGAAAAGAACCTGTAGATGACACCTTAAAAATCTGAAATCCTCTGGAATACACAAAATGTGGTTTTGGTTGGTCAATCCTATCAAACCCTTAGTTGCTTATGGGATGATTTTTTTTTTTTTTTTATTTACCTTTAATTGAATAACAGAGTCCCCTTTGTCAGATTTAGGTCTTAGAAGGGTTCACATGCCAAACGCTACCCTACAAAATCCAACCTGAGGCGAACATTTACATGTTCTTTTTTTTTTTTTTTTTTTTAAATTAAATTAAATTAAATTTGATGACTCCCTCGGCCCCATAAAAACAGTTATTTAATCGATCCCGCCAAGGTTAGTGTATTAGGGATTTGATCCCTAAACCTCTTACTCCATTACAAGAGTTCTAAGTAACTAATGGGAGGAAGGTATAATTACTGATTTTCCTGCATATATTTTCATTTTTTTTTTTCCTGAGGTAACTGCTGGTTTAGTATACAACTTATCTCCTTACATCTTGAAAACTTGTTTGTCCACTATTACTTTTACCATTCATGCAGGATGCTGCTCCTATGTCACATAATGATTCTTAGCCTAGATATTGACATCAATGCATTTAGGTCTTTTTAATTTCAATCCTATTCTGGTGTTACATCTTCATTTCAAATTGACTCTGGGCTCCTATTTTCCTTTTTTGGCTTTAGGATGACAAAGCTTTCATAGAGAAAAGTCTTGAAGATAGTGAAAGAGTGCAGGTATAAACAAAAGATCATCTCTTGGCCATTACAATTAATCTAGAAATTGGTGTTCATGTTACCAAATATGTTCTGACACGTGCTTGGTCATATGGACATGTAGATGGAAGACATTACTCTTTGTGAAGGTGTTCAGAGAGGCCTCGAATCTCCGACTTATTGTAGTGGTAGATATGCACCCTTTATCGAAACTGCAATGTACCATTTTCATTCTCTGCTTTATGAAAACCTCATAAACTAGTTCTCATTGTGTTGCATTTTACATAATGTAAATGTTTATTTTGTTTTTTTTTTTTTATTACATACCATAAAACTTAAATTCACATTCCTGGAATTTCTTGTTCTATTAGTCAATGTTCCAAAAATCGAACCAAATTGGTCGGTTGGACTGGTCCAACTGGTGACTGATGCCCTCTTCAGTTCGGTTTACTATTTTCAACTGCTTACTAAATCCCAAATTTGACCGTCGGCGAACGAGGGGTTATCAAGTATCAGAGTTAGAGGGGTTTTGTAGAGTGGAGACCGGTGGTTCAAGGGGTGATGTCATATTGAATTTTGGACTAGAAAAATCAATCCAATACGCTAGTCACGGTCAATGAACGGGGGGCTACTAAGTACCGAGGTTAGAGGGGCATGCCAGTGGTTCAGGTGGTGGTGTCAGATTGAATTTTGGTCGTCGGAATCAGTTGGAAAGTGGCCAGAAAAATCAAAACCTTAACTGTCGAAACGGTGTGTTTGCGACACTTCAAAGTAGGGACTGATTCGTATTTTTTAGGGGTGTTTTTACAAGATTTCAAACTTTTTGGATCACAAATCAAATCATCGGTTTAACCGGTTGGACTAGTCAACCCAAGACCCAGCCCTTTGGCTGGGTGGTACCCCTGGTCGAGTTTCAGAACATTGCTATTAGTTAGATTTACCTCATGTTCTCAATGTCTATGGTATAATTAAAACGGAAAAAGGAAAAAACAAAAGCCCAAAGGCATGAAAGAACAACAAGAAGGGCTTGTTTGTGTGCCAAAGGGGAGCCATAAGCATTAACAAAAATCATCTTAGTTAAATAGTGTGATTTTCAATTGAAGTAAGACAAAATTTTAATTTGTGAAAAACATTTTGTTTATTTTGTTTTTGTCAAGCTCACTCCATGAAGGAAAGATGTCCTTTAGCTTGACAACAATTCAAAGGCTCTTGATACATGGTGAGCCTTTTATTCATAGAGATATGTCAAGTAGAAAAATGACATTAACTATTGTAATATGAATGGATTTACACAGCCTTAAGCAAGCATTTGATTAGTTGCGAGGCACACTTAATTGGCTCTAAGGGGTGGGATTAGTTTCATTGTGTTTTGGCTTTCCCACATTTGCTTATAGATTGACTAGTTCCCATTTGGTATACATAGAGCTCTTTGTTGTACTTGTTCGATATACTTTAGGGTGCGTTTGGTTAAGAGAATGTTATATTAATGGAAATATATATTATTTTGAAGATTACTACAAATGTTTAGAAAAATGTGTTTGATTCTGCTGGAATAAATTGGTGGGTATGTTATGTTGATATGTTTAGTTGGAAGGTATAAATAAGTGGGTATGTTATATAGATTACTAAATTGCCCTCCTTTTTAAATATTAACATAATATTATTTTTTGAATCATTTTTTTTTTTCCCACTTACATTCGTGCTACTAATGCTTTATTTTGGTCGCCTAGGTAAATAGGCCTTTCCCAATCTGAAATCCATTGACACTCACCTCAATTCCTGTAAAAGGGTATAAACTTTGACCTACAATGCAACATCAGAGTCAAATGGGGCCAGTGGGGGTGCCATTGGCGAGAACCCTCCGATGTCCAATTCAGTAAATCGAACCTATATAAGTTCAAAGTACTATTTCAAACTAACTATTATGCACTTGACATTCGACTCCCCATGACATTGGAGTCGCCAACCTTATTAATTTACCCCCATTTTTATGTGTATTAATTAACAATAAGTACCCAAAGATTATTCTTACAAAAACAACAATAACCATAGAGAGAGAATGGGCCGATAGTTATCAATTTTTTCATGGGAGAATCGCTTTTACCCACCCATGGTTTGGTGAAATGATACTTTCCCACCTGCTGAGTTTCAAAACGACACTTTTCCACCCATCGTTAAGATCTGTTAATGAAATCTGTTATCTGAAAATGATGAAATTACAAAAATATTATAATACCCTTATTATTTGAGTTTATAATCTTATAAAAATTTGCTATAACTAAAAAAAAAATCCTAAATCTTTTTTCTTTTAAAAACCTAATTTACTATCATTTTTCTACAAAAACATCTCTCTCACCCACCACCTAATCGACGCCATTGCACACTCTTGTTCATGGCAAGCCAACAACAGTGCCACCAACAGTGTTATCTTTGTTTCTTCTTTAGCTAATTGGCAAGTCTCAACCACGTTCTGGTGTTCCTTACCTCTCTGCTAGCTCTCCTTTCTTGGAACCTCCTCCAGCTTGTTTATATTTAGCTCTTACTCAGAAAGTCTATGCTTCTTCCAAGCTAACTTCTCCTTTTTGGTTCTCTCTAGATTTAATTCGGAGTCAAGAACCGGCTAGACTATGCTTTCTATTTATCTTGCCCAAATTTTTTTTCTTCGTCAAATTAGAGGGCCTCGGGTGGCAATCTCCCTTTCTCCTCCAACAAGCCCACCACAATTACTCACAACCCTAGCTGCCAATGTTGGTAGCCTTGCTCTAGAGGCCAGTCACATAGCCAAAGCGCGGTTTGGCCGTGTGTGGCAAGAACAAATCGTGGCTTGAGCCACGCATGGCAAGATCGTGCGTGGCCAGGCCATATCTAGGCTTGAATCACGCATTACTAGGCCATCTTTGCCAGAGACAACTCGACCTCCAAATCGCATAAGTCCACCGCCTCTTTCTCTTCCACATCCGTTTGTTCGTTGCCAAGATGAAGGGTTTATTTTTGTATTTATTTTCATGGATTTTATGGGTTTGATTTTGTATCTTCTTTTTCTTTTGTTTTGTTTATTATGAATTTATGTTCATGGAGTTGAGGTGGAGGAAAATTTTTGATGGAATTAGAAGTGAATATTTCTGTAAACCAAATTCTAGGTTGTTTGGAAGATGTATGTGAACCAAATTTTTGGTTGAAAAATTGTGAAGGAGGATTCTCTTTTACCTTCTCTATTCCATTTCTCTCCCTCTACTTTATTTGATGCAGTTGTGTGTAACCACCTGGTCGCGGCGATTGCCCATCATTTCCAACCTCCCCACAGCCAACTCACTCACCACCTATTAGATGAATTTCCTCACCCAAACTAAATTCTAGGTTTTTTAGAAGGGTTCTGTTAAGCAAAATTTGGATTGTATGGAAGGTTTATGTGAAGTAATTTCTTGGTTGTATTGAAGAATTATGAAAAGCAAATTTGGTCTTACAAAAGAATTATGTATAATTTTTTTTACATGAAAGATTTATGTATATTGAAGAATTATGTAAAATTTTATTATATGAAAGATTTAAGTTTAATTTTTGATTCATATGATATTAATTTATTTATTATATTTGCACAATTGTCCCATTACATGCATAAGATTTCTTGCCAATTGTCCCATTACATGCACTATGGGCTATGTGTCCCTCATGTAACCTACCCCTCACCTCACAGTTGTATGCCATTATATGAGAGAGGCTTATCATGCTTCCTACTAACTTTGTATGTAATCAATTTAGGGGTGAGCGTGGGTAGCGGGTAGAATCGAAACCGACGGATAGAACCAGAACCTATCTGGAACTGACACTGTGCGGGTAGGTTCTGGTTCCATTTTTTTGGAATCGATACTATGTAGTTTTGGTTCCGATTCCTACATGTGAAGGAACTGGAACTGAAATTGAAACCTGGAAAAAAAAACCTGCAGTGGGTACTCGGCTTAGAACCTGCAACGGGTACCCTGCTTTGGAACCTGAGCTGAAATGAAATATCTGTGAAGAATGGGGTGTTTATTGTAATTTTACATATAAAAATAAAATAAAATGGAAAAAACTAAATTTTTACAATAACCTAATTAAATAAATATACAATTATACTTATTACATATAAAGTACACCATATAAAAAACTGCAATATATTATAATATATTAATATTAAAGTTTTGATTAATTAAGTGTATAATTAGAATTAAAATAAATTAAAAATATTTTAATGTTATTAAAAGAATTATTTTTTAATAGAATAGTGTATTTGATTAAATAATAATATAATATTTAGTTATTTACTTCAATTATCAAGTTCTAAGTATATATGTAATAAATTAGTAATTAATTAATTAATTATATAAAATAAATTGATAAACATTAATACATTACTAGTTAAATGATTACTTAATCAATTATAACATTACATTATAGTTAAATGATTACTTAATTAATTATAACATTTCATTATAAATATTAGTACAATATTTAATTAAATGATTAAAAATTTAATTAATTATAATATTACATTAAAGATTTATAGTATGATTACTTAATTCATTATAACATTACATTATAGTATGATTATATAATTAATTATAACATTACATAAAAAAAAATGATTACTTAACTAATTATAACATTATATTATAAATATTAGTAATTTATTACATTATTAAATACTTAATTAAATTATTAGAAATTTAATTAATTATAATATTATATTAAAGATTTATAATATAATTACTTAATTCATTATAACATTACATTATATTATGATCATATAATTAATTATAACATTACATAATGAAATAATTACTTAATTAATTATGACATTATATTATTAATATTTGTAATTTACTACATTAGCATAATATCTAATTAAATTATTAGAAATTTAATTAATTATAGCATTACATTATAAATTTATAATATGATTACTTAATTAATTAAAACATTCTATTATAAACATTAGTACAATACTTAATTAAATAATTAGAAATTTAATTAATTAAAACATTACATTATATTATAATAATTTAATTAATTATAATATTACATAGTTAAATGATTACTTAATTAATTATAAATTTATGACATTATATTATAAACATTAGTAATTTACTACACTAGTACATTACTTAATTAAATGATTAAAAATTGAATTAAGTATGACATTACATTATAGATTTATAATATGATTACTTAATTAATTATAACATTCCATTATAAACATTAGTACAATAGTTAATTAAATGATTAGAAATTTAATTAATTATAATATTAAATTATAGATTTATAGTATGATTGTTTCATTAATTTAATTAATTGTTTGTATTTTGGCTTTGATTGAGGAATTTTATGTAAATTGTGATAAATCGATTGAATTCAAGTGTTGCCTAGAGATTAGAGGATTTATGAGTCATATTGGACACAAATG